GGGGATAAGGAATAATCATCTGAATATATCTTATGATTCACGTTTTGAGGACAAAACAGTGATGTGACCTTGATAAAGTTGCTTACTTTCCATGCTATCGATCTAAGGTATACTTTTGACAATGAAAATCTTCAAATGAAATATGATAGTTGCCACCATTATCGATATCAAGATTACACAGAGTTTGGAAAATTTGACCTAGGAGTAGGTCTACCACATACCAACAGAGGAACAATTTGACAACATAAAGAACTAGTGAATCGGCACTTGCAAGACAAGAATGTCTACAGAGAAAGGAGCTACTTAGAACAAAAATAGGAAAGATATTCCAAAAGGAAGGACAAGTAGAATATTTCCTACTGGCGACGGGCACTTCTCGGGCGGAACCTTAGGTTAGTCAACTGGCGCTCCATGTCAAGCAGGCGACTCTTGTATACTGATTGGCGTGCTCGGAGCTCCAAGACCTCAGCTCGAGTTGTAGCTAGCTCTCGCTGATGGGCTTTATGGTCTCTCAAAATCCTCATATGAGCAACCTCGAGACTGCGAATACGGTTTGTGTTGGCATCCGAGTCTGCCTCGAGTTCCACAGTTCGTTGAATGGTCGCCACATTCATTTCGACATTGCGGGCCACTCGTCGAACTATAGTTGGAAGGGCTCTATCTGCGGAGCCTCCTCCGTCCACATTGTAGAAGCGGTGATCCCCATTGTACGGGCGGGGTTGGCCTTGTTCGTGACTCCACCTATCCAGGCTTCCGACCCACATAGGCGTTGGGTCTTCGAGTACAAGCTGAGGGTTGGGATTTGGTATTGGGGCCACTGGGGGTAAGTTCTCGACTTCTGGTTCTGAGTCAGTCTCTTCAGGAAATGGTTCGGCAATGCCATCGTCAAAAGGGATTTCTTGGTTTCCTCCTGGCTCTGGTTCGATCCATCCATCATCTCCTTGGTTATGAAAGTACGGGTCGCCAGGAAGATGGAATCCAGCCATGCTATCTACGCGAGGTGAGGGTAAAGGAATAGTTAATAAGCATCGGATCTATTAATACTTCCAATGTATCATGGCTACATGCTTGATTCTTGAAGGATGGATCCTTGGGTAAGTTTTCGGCTTAGTCGTTATAGCATTCTAAAATACTCCTATAGTATTTTAATCCTTATGTTTGGCTCTAGAACTCCTCATCTAGGTAAGTTTTAGACTTTCTGCAACACCATAGTCACTCCCAAGCACATGTTGGTTATGTCTCGACTGAATATAGTTGATCAGGCTATATTCACCCTAGACATGATTACATAACTGCCCAGGTTTAACCGCGATGTCCAACATCCAAATACTTTTATTTTGCTCTACTTACGACACGGATTCTGATACTCGGGTATACTTATATACTTTTATAAAAATACTTGTATTTTTGAAAGTATATTTTTAGTTTAGAGCACTTAGGCCCCTTAGTATTTATAGTTGTATACCATGTAAGGTTCGGTATACTTAGTTCGCTATAAACAAGGGCTCTGATACCAATCTGTCACACCCCGAAACCGTGATGTCGGAATCGTTCCGGGGTGGAGGACGTCATGCGTAGTATCACAACAATTGTATCATAGCAAGCATAGTAAACACAACCAGACATTGAATACATATATGAAAAAGGTTTACATTGTTTAATACATAGTTTTAATAATATCAAAAGTAAAATAGACAGACGCGACTCTAACGTTTCGTCTTCTCCGAACTCCTGGAAGTACTTGTTTACTAAATCCCTGAGAATACAAGCAGTTTTGAAAGAATATCAGGATAAAGCTGGTGAGTTCATAAGCATTTAGTTTTAGTGAGATAATGTTCTTTGAATCCATTTGAAAAGTGTTCTTCAAGAAAATCCTGTATTTTCTTATGAAAAGCGGTCTTGAAAGAGTGTCTATTAGTAGAAAATAAACCATCAGTTTTAGAAAACATGTCATCCGTCCTAGAGGTAGAGATGCCAGTTTAGAAGTCCTTGATTACTATCAGCATATATAAAAGTAGTTTTATTACTTAAAATAAAACAAATGAAGAATAGAGTCCGTAAACAAAGTTAGTTTATACTTATTTGCGAATCGTATAACCATACTTGATATGACCGAGTGACCTTTATAACGTTCTTCAGGCGTTAAGCTAAATGAAATTTGTTGACCCCAGGCGTGCCCGCTTAACTGTAGCTAGCAGTTCAGGTGTGGGATTGTCAGTCCCGAATAGATCTATTCACAAATCTCACGCTCTCCCTCCAGGAGACTCTGGTTATACTAAAAGGATTTATCACTATATACCTAAGTGCACAGTATTGAAGTAGAGCCTCACAATTCTGTATAATCTAGTTTACTAGCGAGAAACAGTATAAAACAATAATTATCCTTGAATAATAGTACTTTATACTCTCGAGAAAATAAATAACATAAACTACATCTGCCATAGTTTACATATGTTTATTTATGAAATCTAATTAAGTAGAGACTGCCTAGAGGATTATCCCAAACTATACCCATTATAGTTTATTAGAGTTGATATAGAAAATGCTTTGTAAGAACCTTTCTGAAAGCGATGAAGTTAGATTTCCAAATTTAGAGTTTCCCTTCAACATATTACAAAAAAGAGATAAAATATCCGAATATGTTATTAAACATGGAAATCATTAACTGTATTAGTAAGTTTAAAACTTAACAAAAGACTTAGCGTTTGGCTTGTATTCCCCCCCTGAAAACATTAAAAACACGGAAAATGTAGGGGTATGAACTCACCTCGGGTGATTTGAATGAAGGATCGATACGGAATGCGGGATGTTCAAGTGAAGCCTTGAACACGATTTGATCCTAATCAACAAGTAATGACACATAAAGGAGTCAAATGATGGTATTTCACCACTAGATGTGATGAAGAACCACTCTAAGAACTTGGGACTACTTGCACTAAGTGTTAGGACCTCAAAGAATTGCATGAGGAAGGTGTATGGCCACCTTAAAGGTGTGTACGGCCATGGGTGTGCGGCCCAATGGGTGTGCGGCCGTACACTCATGATGGAAGGTGCCTTTGAGGTGTTTTCAAGGTCCATACTTGCATCCGTGAAGTGTCCTATGCCCATACTTGGTTGTAGTACAAGTTTAGGGTCTTAGAAATGGGTTTGTGGTCCTATGGTGTGTGTGTATGGTCGCACAAATGTGTGTGTTGCTGCACAAGGGAGTGTGCTACCTCACACTGGAGTGTGCTGCCGCACACAGGAGTGTGCCGCCGCACATATGAGTGTGCTGCCGCACACATGAGTGTGTGGTCGCACTCCTTCAAAGAGATGAAGAACATGACGGGACTTTCATGATTCAAGGCCAATATCAAGAGGTTCTTCATGGACAACAAGTTAAGGGATGGATTACTCACGTTTTTGAAGCCTTGGGAGGGTTTGTGGTTGAAGAAGCTTGAGAGAAATGGTGTTGTGTGCTGCCAAGGTGTTAAAGGAATGAAAGGAAAGGGGTATATCCTTTATATAGGGTGGGTGTGCTGTCAAGAATGGAGTGTGCTGCTAGGAGGTGTGTGTGCGGCCGCACACCCATGTGTACGACCGTACACTCCCTCTAAAGGTGTGTATGGCCTCGTTTTGACAGTATACAACTTGCTGACTCATTCCTAGACTCAAACTTGGTCATACTCAAGCTTAGAATCACTTAAACGAATCCTCAAACAGTGCGAGAAGTCAACAAAACATGTTTAACTTTGATTGCATTGACTAAGTGTGTGAGATAAAAGTTCCGGGTTCTCACAAAAACTATATTTTTGGTTAATGATAGTCAGATTTGGGAAAATACATACTCTTACAAGAGACACACACACGACCACTAGATGCCTTGGTAGAAGGCTACTTTTATTAGGAAACATAGGGTTTTCGAGGAGAATTCAAACACTTACAAACATTTTCAAACTTATACATTACATACTTACAAACACTTTCATAGAAACACAGACACTAATATACTTATGAACTCACCAGCTTTAAAGCTGATAAACTCTTTCAAAATAACTTGTATTCTCAGGTCACCAGTAGACAGGTACCGGTGCCAGGTTTTGAGAAGATGGAGCTCGTTCAAGACTCATCTTTTATTTTGATTCATATTTTTTGTGTCTATATAACTTGACAGAACACACTTGTATTAAATTATATTATTAATGCAATGGATGATGTTGTTGCTTGTTTATTACTTTGCATTGTTGTGATACTGTACATGACGTCCTCCGCTCTAGAACGTTTCCGCCGTTCTTGGTTTTGGGGTGTGACAGATTGGTATCAGAGCATTGTTTATAGTGAATCGAGTGTATCAACCCATAAAAGATATACAAACTATAAACACAGCGGGATTAAAATACTCTGATAAAGAGTTTATACTTTTAAAATAATAAAATATTTAACTAAGTATACATGCCTGCATTCATACAAAAATCAGTGTCACTAGGACAGAACAAAAATATTACGATTGTTGGGCAGCACAAGTAGACTTAAAGACATATGGTCAACCCTGGGAAGATATAGCTTGATCAACTATATTATCCGAGGAGTGACTAGCATGTGCCTAAGGATGGTTGTGAGGTTGCAACAAGTCTAAAAACTTACCAACACTACTACAATGAGAACAGTAGAACAAAACATAAACTTAAAATACTATAGGAGTATTTTGTGTTACTATTAAATACTTATCTGAGAACTAAAGGTCTTTATTAGTATGTCAATAGTTGCTGAGTGGATACACTAAGGTTATATGTGCTAGGATGTCATAGACTTAGAATCTATGATCTTTGCTTTACTTCCTGTTCCTTGTTTGGTTGTGGGCTTAGAGTTAGGGTCACCTATTCGAAGGTCTATTCTATTTTGAGTACATATAACTGGTATGCACTAAACAAGTATTGGAGTAACTGATAAAGATCATCTTATAATTATCTAGTTAGTTCGTCTATTAATTATTTCTTTACCCCCTTTCTCGTGTAGATATCATGGCTGGATTCCATATCCTTGGAGACCCATACTATCCCAACCACGGCAATGTTGGATGGCTTGGAGAAGAGCCAGAAGATGATCACCCAATCCCTTTGGATGATCACGAAGCTGAAGGCTTTCCTGATGATTCTGACTCAGAACCTGAAGTCAACAACCTACCCCCAGCTGCTCAAGACCCAAACCCGAACCCTCGTCCAACATTTCAAGGACCTACACCTCTATGGGCCACAAACTTGAATAGGTGGAGTCAGGAACAGGGTCAACCCATGCCCTACAATGGAGACAGAAGCTTCTACAACCTCACCGAGGGAGGTTCAGCTGACAGGGTCCTACCCATCATGGTTCGTAGGATTTCTCGGAACACCGAGCAAGGTCGAGCAACTATCGACCGAGTCGTGGAGATTGACGCCAACTCTGGCGTTAACACAGTCCGCATTCGCCAGCTAGAGTCTGCTCATGAAAGGACTCAGGTCCGCAATGCAGCTCTGCAGAGAGAACTTGCTGAAACCCAAGCTGAAGTCAGGGAACTTCAAGCTCAACAAGCAAGATCTGATAGGCGTATGAGGGACATAGAACGTCTTCTGTCGGAGTCAAGAACTAACTCTAGTAGTTCTCGTCGCCGATAGAGTCCCATCGACTTCTCTTTTGGGATATAACCTAGTTTATGTAAAAACTCTAGTCTAATTTCCTATCTTTGTAAATCTTAGATCTGTTAGGTCTTGATTAGGTCGTAGTTCTGTCAAAATTTTCCCATCTTGGTTGATGTAAGGCCTACTTCTAGGCCATTTTTCCCAAACTTGTTACATCTGTAATTCCAGTATTATTGATGAAACAAAGAATCGAGTATGAAATGAATCAGAGTTTAATGATCAAAGTAGGATTGTGAGATTTGAACACAGATGTAAATATGATCTTGTTTCAGCTCTATTACGCTCTCAAGTTTTTACAGAGTACAAATGACAATCCTGTAAAGACTCGTTTTTATGACTCTAGTAAACACTCCTATTTATAGGAGAGGAAAGCGTACAAAAAATATACTAAGGACTATGCGTTAAGCTTTGAATACAATGCCCTAGTAAAATAGATTACATAACATACGAAGACTCAGTACATTCGAAGACATGAAACCCTTCGACTAATTACAACTCTATTTACCCTTACAATCTCCCCCTTTGTAATCAAAGTCGAAGTCTTCAACTTGTAAGCAGTTGAATTGAATACATCATCACTCTTCGTATCTCTGTATACCATGCAATGACCTTCTTAATCTCCTTCTTGTCTCCTTCATTATTCTTCCTGCATTGGTTCATACGAACAATTAAGTTCGTATACTGAGAAGTTGCATATCTCTCCACTTCGCACGTTTGGAACAAGAACCGCTTTGCTCTACCAGCTTTGTCTTTTACTGCGAAGACAATCCCCAATGGTTTTAAGCAGATTTCACCATCTTCATATTTCTTCAGATCTACTTGTTTCTTCGAAGGAGCCATTGGTGCAGTAATTTCAATACCTTTCGCAGTAGCCAATTCCACATCAGTTTGAGCAAGACACTCAAAATAATTTTCAATAAAGATCTTGATGTGTTTGACTCCAAGTTGGAAAACATATGGCTCTGTTTCTTGTAGAAAGGAGAATGACTTGTCTTTCAGGATTAATGCAACTTGTATAAGATCATACAAGTTCATTATCGGAAAATCAGCAATGGTAAACTCATAAACTTTTCCATTTGATCTGATCACTGTGTATTTGAGATTCTGAATAACATTTTCGAAAACCATGTCTCTTTTGAATCTTATAACTTTCTTGATTTTTAACAGTGACCAGACTTCTTCAGGTGCTTTCGCCAACACTGAATGAAAACGAATTTTTATCTTCTTCCCTTCTTCTTTGTCTTTACACATAATTTCTGCTTTAAACTGAGGCATGATGAACATCATTTCATTTATAGGAAAGTCAAGCTGACTTGCATAAGTGTTTGAAACCACATAACTCTGTTTTGGCACCTTTTCGAATGAGTACATATGATCAAACATGACTTTTGCCTCAATTGTTTCATAGTTGTATTGCTTCGAAGGATCTCCTTTTTCCAAACCCACAGGGTCTTGTGCACGAAGAGCCATAACACTTTGAATACGCCTCATCTTTTCCAACTCTGCATCCACTTCAGCCTTCTTTTCTTCCTTAGTCTTTTCTATGATCTTGGCTTTACCTTTATCTTTAGACTCAGACTCTCCCACCACAATCTTTGGTTTCGAAGCACTTCCAGCAGCTTCTCCAATCACAACACCTTTAGTAACTGATCTGGTCATCGGAACCGTTGTGACCACAGTTGAAGTAACTGAACCAGCAGATACAATAACAGGCTTTGTAGTTGGAATCTTCGAAGAAGACTTGAAATGCGAGTAAGAGGAGATAATTGTTTGTGAAGAATAGCTTCGAACTGGATGAATTTTTGAGATAAAAATTTTGGAGTGATAAACGAAGTGAACACTGGTTTCACAGACAACTCCTTCAACTCTTTTAGCAAAACAATCAACTCGCTAAAATTCTTGTTCTCCAATTCAGAAAGATGAGTAAGTTGAGGACTCATGCTTTCGTATAATTTGACAAATTTGGTGACAACGTCACAAATAATGTCAACCTTCTGATGGATTGAAGTATAACCTTGTTGAACACTTTGAACTTCTCTCTGCATGTTTTCACGAAGTTCACGAATTTGCATGTTGACATCTTCGCGTACCTTCTTAACTTCTTGAACAAAAAGAACATGTCGTTCTTTTGTTGTGCTTTTCAGATCCTTGACCTCACCCATAACGTCAGATCGTTGAGATTTAACACGAAGTTCGTTATTCTGATCAGTGTAGTCAACCTTCTCCAAAATAACGGACTCGGAATCTTTCACCATTCCGGAGACTTTGTTGATTATCCATGATTCCATCATCTTTAACATAGTATAAACTTCCAGACTTGATACTGATGAACCTCCTCCAAAATCAGCTTGAGATTGAATGATAGCATTCAACTTCGTATTCAAAATTTTGTACTGCTTCATGGTCATCAACATATGATCTGGAAAATTTTCTTCTTCTTCATCAAACTTTAGATCTTCAAAAGTTCCTCCAAAACCTTCGTTATCAGTTTCATTCTCCAGCATCATTGTATCATCGACAGGTGAAGTAGGTTTGGGTGGATCAGTAGATTGTGAAGAAAAGATGGAAGTGAAAGGGGTATGGATTATGTTGTTGAATGTGGGTGAATCAGTTGTAGAAGTTACTGGTGGTAAAGATACGATAATATCAGAAGTGACATGAAGATTACCTTGAGCATCAGTCTTCGCACCTTCTTCACCCATGTTAACATTTGTATCCGTATTAGATACGTCTACAGTGATGTCAGAAGTTCGTGTCTCCTCATTAGATGACTTGACATGCGAAACTTCGGGTGGAATAAGACTTATGTCTTCAGGAATCGAACTTTCTTTGACAAGATCAGCTTCCGGAGTTTCAGGAATTCTTTCTTCGTCTTCTGTTGAAGTAGTGGCAATGATAAGTTTTCTGGACTTCTTCGTTTTCTTTTGTGTCAACTGTTTTGCCACATCTTCAGCCCTTCGTTTCTTTGATGATGGAGAAACAGGCGCTGGAACTTCCTTAAATAATACACCTTGATGTGTATGTTGTGGTTTACGAACAACGTGGGGTGAAGATTTTCGAGACCTCATCTTAAATCTATGAAAAACCCCAGTCTTCGAAGGGATTATTTCTTTTTCTTGGGTTTCTTCAACAGTAGGTGAAGTAACTGGTTCTTTAACAGCGATAGACACATCCGTTCGAACAATTTGTTCGACTATTACGGGTTTCTTCTTAGATGACTTCTTGGGCTTCGTTTCCTTCACCGGTTTTGCAGAAGAATCAGCTTCATTCTTCTTCCCCCTTTTCGATTTTTTCTTCTCTTTTTCCAATAGAACACCAGTTTTCACTGTTGTATCTATTGTTTGCAGATAAGTCAACAAAACTGAGTTCGTAGGATCAACTCTTTTTAGCATTGCATCAGGAATACGAGCAACACTTGGGAACTCATCAGCATCATCAATCACCTCCTTTGGACTGCTATATACATGAAAAATGACTTTTTCTTCGTCATTGGCTACTAAAATACCCTCTTTGTTGTAGAAGTACTGCAAGATCAAACTCCAGTATCTTGCACACGAAATACCATGTACAGCGTCCGTGTTGTCAACACTTTTCTTGAACTCCTTCCATAACTGCGAAGCATAATCCACCGGTAAATCATAGTATAGCCCTGCAACCATGGCGTATACCTCCATTCTTCCTTTGTCTAACCCCACTGTTCTACCAGTTAAGCAACGTAAAAAGATTCCAAAAAGAAAATTCCAAATCTTAGGAAGACCTGACTTCTTGAAATCACTGATTTTGGATAGTGGTGGTTGATGTCCCATCTCGTTGAACATGTGGACAATTTGAGGATAAGTAAAATCCTCATACGGTGGAGAATTTGGAATATCAAGAATCTGACAGAAGAGTTTCTTTGTAAGTCTAACCTTCTTGTCATTGATTAGGTTAAACGTGACTGCATCAAAGGCTTTAGCGATTGAAGCTGTTGATCCCGCCTGAGATAACCACGAAATCGGTACAGAGAAAGAATTGAACATTGCCTTGGATAAAACAGAATTCTTCAAGGCAATCACGAGCATCTTCAATTCTTCAGGGTACTTAGATACATCAGCTTCAACTTGATAGTTGGTACCCTGGATCTTCATAATAGGCATGGAAGTAATATCTTCTGGAGTTTGAGAAGGTTCAACATTGACATTAGCAGTATTCGCCATTGTTAGGGTTTTGAAAGCTTGAAAATTCAGAGAGAATTGGGAATTATCTTTGAATGCGTAAAGTGACAAAAGACCCTTGAATCCCCTTTTATATGTAACACTCCTGTTTGAATTAAAAGCGGGATGTGCATTTAATGACTGCCGACGTGGCACCTTGAAAACCGGACCACTACTCCGTAGAAATAGCCATGCGTCAAAAAGTAACTGTCCCATCGCCATAAAACCCGGACACGATATCATACGTCATTGAAATACAGCCTGTTTTGTTTGCCCCAAGAGAATTGTAATCGTCGGACCCCTTCGGATGGAAGTTAGGCTCTTTCACTTTTGGGATGAAAAGCGAAGTCATATGCCAGATGTTTGAAATCATCAGCCTGAGTTGGTGTTACTCAGAACCTCAAGGATTTCGTGAGTGCAGTGTTCCAAAGAAAGTTAGACAAGAAACAATGAAATAAAAATTTTTGGATTTTGTGATGTCAAAAATTTAATTTGACACGAATGCAGTTAAACCCCAGGCAAAGGTTGCTTCGTTAATCATCAAGAGAGATGATCAACAGCTTGTGTATGTTCCCGTGAATTACAATCGAAAACTTGTAGAGAAGTTTCGAAGGGCATCTTTTGTAAGGCTACATAGGTGGCTTAATAAATTTCGTTACATATCAGCCTTAACATAAGGTGAGTAATTGTAACAGAAATTACTTGTTTGACCAGTGTAGTCAGTAACTTTGGGATTCGAAGTAAACTCACACGGAAATCATATTCATGAAAAACATTTGTGCT